TTGATAAACTTAACTATTTAATCAGCCAAACCCCACCATTTAAACCTAAAAACAAAACAAAAACATTGATAAACTTAACTATTTAATCAGCCAAACCCCACCATTTAAACCTAAAAACAAAACAAAACATTGATAAACTTAACTATTTAATCAGCCAAACTCCACCATTTAAACCTAAAAACAAAACAAAAACATTGACAAAATTAACTATTTAAAACTGCGAAAAAAAGACATATCTTTCAAGATTTTAGGGCTATATGCTTAAATTATATTAAATCAAGTGTTATTAGATTTGAAATCAGGTTCAAAAGATGAATTAAAACCTGGCGGTTTGGCATTAAACTACTGACTAACAATACCAACCGTGAATCTTGTAATAGGAAGCGTATCTACAGGAGTATCGAACACTTTACTAACCCTGATCTTTGTATATAGGAATGTTAATTCTGTGACTGGGGTACCAGCCTGTACGTGGTGCTGGAGACTCAATGGCCAAGCCCATAACGTTTTCCGGTCGGAAACGACGTATATGGTTGTAGAATTCCGTCACAGGGCGTAGAAACAGAACGTCAGTGTCAGCCAAAACAACAGCATCGATATGTCGTAGACTAGACTGTTTGGAGGTAGCAACAACATTAATAAACACAACAAATAAAGAACTCACTCAAATCCAAATACCGTATGTTGGTCTAGTATGCAAACATCAGACATTGAAATATTACATGTTTTCTCAGTATGCTATAAAGTGATGTGGGCTTCTTTGCAATGATCGATTACTAGATACGTAAAATGATTTTAAGACCACAACAAGTCATTGATTATAATATGTTGTATAACTAATGTGTTTCCTATATAGTACTTTATTTTTATAAAAATTTTAAAAGTAATTTTAAGATAATAAAATTTTTCGTTGTGTGAAACAGGCCCGTGAGCAGAATGTTTGAATTGGGGATTCTCAATTGTGAGATCAAAACGGCAACACATATTTTATCAAGCACAGTCAGCATGCAAAGCATGCTAATGCTACGGGGGTCTGGGGCATGCCCCCCAGAACATTTGTAAAAAAAAAAATAGGTGCTATGAGATTAAATCTGGAAGCAATTTTGCATGAAATATAGCTTAAACTATTGCATGGCTGTTCATTCAAAATCCACAAACATTCAAAACGTTAAGTACCCTAAGTTGCAGCTACGCTATAACTGTACAAGAATATTTTTTTACATCACAAAAATAAAGGTTTCAACCGAACCTTGTTGGTTGGTGTAGCATATTCCAAATTATATGTTTTCACGGATATGAGAGTAAGAGAATAGAAAACACAACTTCGTTATTCATGGATAACATGATGCATGTTACATAGTTTGAAAACATTACAATCATGATATTTTAGATCTAGCTTAATTCGTAATGTGGTTTAAAATAAGTATTTAATTGTTCTAGAACACCGAGTCCGGGCGTGGTTAATGATTAGCGTTATTGAAATGTGAATCCGAGGTTTATGTTTCTTGGTCCTTTGCCAGAAAAACTTGCTCCGCAATTTGGATCCGAGAGTGAATTATAAGAGTGACAGTCAAATCCCACTATTCGGCCAGACAAGAGAAGCCTAGGAGCTGGTGATGAATGATGTGGACAAACTACTTTACCTATAGTCTATCATTTTGAGATTAGGTACTGTTTTGGACACAGTAGTTTTTCACGACATTTCGGAAAATATGTACATCAACAGAACAAACTTTGGTTTATCACTGAAAGAAAAAAATTACATTAAAGTCTGGTTATGTAGTTATATTATCTTCTAAAAGGCAACTGATGTCAGTTGAGTTGATAGAGTCTGGTTACGTGGTTATATTATTTTCACATCAGGTCTAGCAATATGGATTAGATTATAATTAACCAATTTTCATATATCGTTGAAGCAAAAATTGACTGCAAAGCATGCGTGTTGCAGTTCGACAAATAATACTGACAGAAGTCATGTTAGTTTTTTGTGTTTTTGATGCTTACTTTGATAATGCTTACAGGTCTCAGTATAAACTTTTTTTTTAGAATGATCCGTCAATCGTTTTTTTTCCTTTTTCTTTGCGGGCCTGGCATGGTCAGGTGGTTATGGCGTTCGATTCACAGTATGCGGGTTGCAGGTTCGAATTCTCGTCCCATCAAACATGCTCGCCCTTTCAGCCGTGGGAGCTTTATAATATGACGGCCAAACCCACTATTTGTTGGTAAAAGAATCGCCCAAGAGTTGTCGGTGGGTGGTGATGACTATCAGACTTTCTCTGCTAATTTAGGGAGAACTAGTGGAGATAACCCTCGTGTAGTTTTTCGTAAAATTCCTAACAAACCTTTTTTTCGCTCTTAGTGAACTTCCTATTGAAATTCTCTGTTTGAGTATTTATTATTTGAACGAAATTGTTGTTGTGCATGCATATTTTATTAGTTTTAGAAGCATGTGGTCTTCAGTAGATGAAATTGTGCGCATATTACCTAACACAACGGCTCTCAGCTTGTAGTCCGAAGACCGTTATTGTACAATGAACCCTTCAAGGTGGTTTGTGGAAAGGTTGGATAATTAGGGTGGCGATATTTTGGCGGGAGAGCCCAAATATAACGACGGTAGAAACAGAAGAATTGGGGACGTCAATTACCTAACATAACTATCACTTTGCTCTCAATACTTTTTATTTATTATTCCTTTCGAATTTAGCCACTCCTTAAAAGCATATTTTTTCATTTAAAACAAATAATTAAAAACAGTTAAGAAAACGTTGGTTTTTACTGTTATCATTTGCAAAAAATTATTTTAATGTGAAGGGGGCGCAATGGAAACTTTGCTGAGTTAGTGGGCGCCGCTATTTAACATAAAGATCTTTTGTTCAGAGGTTTATATGTCCATGAAGTAAGTTTCAAATTTGATAACAGGATGTGGTCTGGCTCTGAAATATAAGCTAGTTACTAAATTATTGCCAAGATGTGTATATAGAGTTGGCAATTTATATATCAAGATAGCCCAGGGGAAAATATAGGTACTTTAAAAAGTAAACAGCCATCTCGGTAAAATAACTTACCGGCAAAAAAATTTTATGAGTAGAACACAAGCTGTATAACCATTTCCATTCACTAACATTCAGCCAATCAGGATACATTATTCCATGATATTCGAAGGTCACGTGCTTCATTGCATCTTGAGACCATGAATTCACCTGTAAATTCATATATATTTATATTTATCTCCAGATAAAAACTACATAGTGTTCGACCATATTACTCTAATATGAAAAATCTATTTCACTGTTCTCTTACCGAATCTCATGATCTCAGATTTCTGGGAAAGCGACTTTAACCGAATAATTTTCGTACAATTTAAACTTCTTTTTCATTGGTGGTGATACATGTCAGTACCTGAAATCTGACAGAATCTTGATGTCTTTTTAATGCTGTGAGTAAAGCAGTTGCCAGAGCTCTCAGGAATCTATATCATGACTAGACGGTTAAATACTAACAACTAAATACAGCAGCGCTACTCTTAAAAGTCAAATAATATTTTAGACAATAGAATAATAATAATAATAACAATTGCGTTTCACATTCTAATGAACAATAGACATTTTGCATAACTAATTTCTATCTAATTTTGAATCTTCCAAACTTATCAAAATGAATTCCTGTGTTATAAGAATACGAGCCATCTTGTGTTAAGATTTTGGCAATTATAACAGTATGAAGATAATCTAACAACATAATGCTTTCTTAGATTGAATTTCTTTTTTAAAATTTCATACCTAAAAACCTTTGAATTCTCACTCTGGTAAGCCACTTCATGTCACAAGGATGACTACACTCTAAATATATGACTAACGTATCTCCCAAAAGTCAACTAATGCCACAAGGATGACTTAGAGTCTTGGTACTTTGTTATATTATCTCCCAAAAGTCATCTAATATGATTAGGATGACTTAGAGTCTTAGTACTTTGTTATATTATCTCCCAAAAGTCATCTAATATGATTAGGATGACTAGAGTCTGGTAATATGGTTATATTATCTCATAATAGTCAATTAATACGATTAGGATGACTAGAGTCTGGTAATATGGTTATATTATTCCCAGGATTTAACTAATGTGAATAGGATGACTATAGTCTAGTTACATGGTTAAATTATCCTCTAATAGTCAACTAATGCCACAAGGATGACTAAAGCCTTGTTACATGGTTATATTATCTCCCCAAAGTCAACTAATATGACTGGGATGACTATAGTCTGGTTACATGGTTATATTACCTTCCAAAATTCAATTAATGTCAGTAGAACGGATACAGTTTGGTTATATGGTCATAGTTTCTCCCAAAAATTGAAGATTGTCATTAGGATGTCTAAAATCTGGTTACATAGCTAGATTATGTTTCTAAAGTCAGCTAATTTCAGTAGAACGGACGGATACAGTTTGATTACGTAGTCAAATTATCTCCCAAAAGTCAACTAACGTTAGTAAGATTTAATAGAGTCTGGTTATGTGGTTATACTATCTGGCAAAAGCCATTTATTGCTGCCAGAATGAACATTATCTGATTACTTGGTTACATTATCTCCCATAAATCGTCATATGTAACCAGGATGAATAGAGTTTGATTACGTGCTTATATGAATACAGCCTAGTTAATCTTTTATCACCAGTACAAATATAGACTAGTAACGTGACTATATTATCTCTTACCAGTAACTGCTCACCAAGATAAGTGTTAACTAACTTTCTACATTATGCCATTTATAATAACGATGAAACATTTGATTTTATATTTTTCCTGATTTGATATTCTAAACCATCCCATAATAACAGCGAATTTCGTAACTTACAGCTTCTTCAATTGGATCTCTCAAATGATCTTCAGTCATGAGGATGATGTGAAGAGGATTTCTGCAGAGGGCAATAGCTGATTTGATCATGATGATTGCCTGTTCTATTCTGTCTCCGCAGATGGTGGTAGTCATGTACACAGTGTCAGGATGTCGCTCGACTTTCTCAAATCCCCTACCAGTAGCGAGAATATAAAACTGATATAAAACTTGTAAATACTCCTAGAAACAGTCCAAACATTTTACATAACACTTTTAGTTTGAAAAAAAAAAAAGAATTAATGAAGATGCATTTGAAAAAGACTTTATTCAATTTTACTTAAAAATCGGGCCGACATGGCCAGGTGATTAGGGGCGCTTGTCTCGCAATCTGATGGTCTGGGGTTCGAATCCCCGTCCCATCAAACATGCTCGCCCTTTCAGATGTGGTGGCGTTATAAAGAAACGTTATAAAAATTACTTAAAAATCAAAATGAAACAAAATTCGATTTTTTGTTTGTTTGTAGTTATGCACAAAGCTACACAATGAACTATCTGTGCTCTGCCCATCACGGGTATCGAAACTCGGTTTCTAGCGTACAAAATCCGAAGGATGACTGCTGAGTTATTCGCGCATATTACTTTAAATGTATTTTAAGATATCGGTATTGTAATATTAATCTTGTTTGTATGCTGTGTTTTATCCCTTCATTTAATACTCAGCAAATCAGTAATAAATAAGACAAAACCTAATACGAACACTTAGTGGGAAATAAAAGTAATTTTCTAAAGTGTTAAATTAAGGGTCTAATTTTAATATATTGGGAAAACGGTTTGAGTGACAGTTGGTTTTCATATTATACATGTACAAACTTTACCATAAAGTCCACGTGTGCGGACAAGGTCCCGTTCACATGGAAAATTTCAATTCTCATTCTATCACTACCATTTGTTCGTAGTATCAAATTTTACAAGCTCCCCCTTTGCTTGTCTGTGCTGTATGATTGATTTAGTGGTTATATTTTAGAATTTTATTATCAGACTCGAATGCTGATGTAAGGTTCAATATGACATAACCTAACCCTCATGAACAGGATGTCAAAACGCTAGAAGGCTTTTACAGTAATGGCTCATTACCATGATTGGACGACATCATTTGACATGTTACATGATATTTAAGGAAACTGATTACTTTACAGTATAAGGTGTATAAGGATGTTAATAAATTGGCCAGTGAGTTTGGGTGTTAATGATTGGTGATTTTCAGTAAAACAATTGCCGTTGTAAGAAAATGGTTTGACATTAAGGAATATCACTGTTTTTGTGCTGAAAGTCCGGGAGCTTTGCTAAGCTGGTAACATGTTGTGATGCTTTGGCTGTCAGACGTCACACTTTTTGTAAAACGACAAAGAAATAATTAATAACTTCCCAGTTTATCATTATTAGTTTTTGTCACAGTTAATTCCTAGACGAATTTAAACTATAAATAAAAAACTCTGAATAAGTAAATTATCTAACGAAAATAAGCAAAATCAAGTGGATATTTTAATCATTTTAGGAGCGCTCTTGGTTGTGTAAAGA